CGTTTGACGGGGGGTAGTGTCCTGCCCCATAGCAGGTCATTGGCTAACATGCCGAGTCGAGTGGCCACCCGCGCCGCCATCACTGTCACCTTGCTGACGTAGGAGGCCAAGGAAAGAACACTGCTCTTGATTGCGACAGCTTTTTCGCGCAGGGTCAACCTGAGCAGTGCTCCACGCTCGGTGAGCTGTGCAGCCCTGTCGATGACCCTCTTCCATGCGGAAACGTCAACGCCTTCTCAGGAAACGTAGACGCCGAGGACCTTAACCGTGCAGACCGGTTCTATGTCCCCAATTGCTTCAGTAGGGAACAGACCGAAGAGCAGTGCTCAGCTCTTTCTCTCGTGCAGTTGGGCTCCTGACACCTTCGCGTATAGTTCGAATACGCTGCGGAAGTGGTCGAGACTTCGTGCGTCCTTGAGGAACAGGGATATGCTGTCGGCAAACGCCAGCACTCTGATCTCTTCGGTACTTTTAATAGGCACGCCTCGGATGCATTCGTCGCTGACCAGAGTTGTCAGCAGAGGCTCGATCGAAAAAACAAACAGGGTTGGGCCTAAGGGGCACCCTTGCCTAATGCCTCTCGTGTACCGGAAGAAATCTGTGATCGTGCCGTTCACCGTGACGCAACTTCGCAGGTTGGTGTACAGGAGCTCGATGGCAGCCACGAACTCCTACGGGAGCCCGAACTGACAGAGAACTTCGAAGAGGTACGCGTGCCCAACACTGTCGAACACCTTGGCTTGGTCGAGGGACAGGAAGGCACCCGTGACTCTTTTCTGGGTCGCGTACTCGAAAACGTCTCTTATGGCTGTGAGGTTCGGAACATTGACCGGCCAGGCACGGCGCAGGCTTGGTGGGGAGCGATCAAGTCCGGCAAGAAGGTCCTCAGCCTGGTGTTGAGTATGGACGCCACGATCTTGTTAGTCTACATTGAGTACAGAGATCAGGTGCCATGACGACAGTTCGCGCAGGGATGCGCCGTCCTTGAGGATGAGGCCGGTGCGACCTTCGCTAAATGAATCAAGTTTTTCATGCTGCTGGAGGACCAGGTTGACCATGGCCAGAAGCGGTGCACACAGAACAGCAAAGAAAGTTGTGTAAAAGGCGGCTGTCAGGCAATCAGTGTCCGGAGCCGAGTTCGGCGGCATGGCTCGGATGGTGTGGTCGCTCGGTCCCTCGCTGTCGTGGGGGGCATGGTCCTGGGCGCAAGCACTTGGAGGCGCGAGGATGGCTTCTCAAACCGAGGCGATACTGAGCCACTAGATGGGGCAGAGCTAGATCCGTGGCCTGAAGTCGAGGGGAACCAGCGAGCGGCCGACTCGTAGGATCGCGTTCGGAAACATTCCCTCGTCCCGTGGTGACCCCACAACGCTTACATTCAGTTGCACAGCCCTCAATGTCATGCCCGCATATTCCACATCGTTTGCAGTAAAGGTTGGAGCATGCGGTCGCCGTGTGGCCCACTTTGCCGCAACGTGCGCAAGCTCGCCTCATTCCTCTATATTCAAACATAAGGCAGTGCCCTGCGATGGTCGCAAAGTTTGGCAACAGTTTGCTCATTTCAATCTTGATCACCCTGACGCCGTTGAGCTTGTTTTCGCCAGTGGCCACAGTGGCGAACGATATGCCCCTCACTTTGCCGTACTGGGCTAGGGTGTTGCTAAGCACCTCGTCGGACATGTACGCGGGATACCGGTAGGAGTTTATGTACGTGACCGGCAGCCCAACGGCCTCAACCGGTACGTTTTCGCCGTAACCCGGAAGCCTTCGCCCACCATTAGCGTTGTAGCTTGACTGGCGTTACACGTACAGACGATGAACCTAGCCCCGCCCATGTGCTGAAAGAACAAGTACACTGTCATTTCCAGACAGTAGTTCGATTGCATAAATTAAATAGTCAATCGACACGTCGCCTTCGGGTGCCGTGAACATGAGGCAATTCACCCTCACCGGGAGGTCGGACGTCCTCGCCATTCTGGAGCGCGTTGGCACTGGCTGCCTGGCGGCGTGGCTGGTAGAAAACTGGTCACGTGCAGGCGAGCTGCACAGTAGTAAGACTGCGGCTCAGCCGAGGCAGGTCTCCCACAGGTACAGGAGGCGCCGCGAGGATTGCAGGAGAACTCCGGGGCGGTGGGCGTGGACCAAGCACCTTGCTTCACCAGGCATGGGACGGGTAGGCGCGGACACGAAGGTCCGAGGCCCAGGCTGGCGATCGCACGTGGGGGACGGCGGTGCCGCGTAGACTGTCTTTCGAGACTTGAACCCCGGAGTCGACGTCAGCGTGGCGTGACCTTGGGTCTCGTGCGATGACGCAAAGAAGACGGCTAACTCGACGCTTTGATCTTAGCCAAAAGACCGAGAAGCAATGCGATTTATTTGAACGTAATGAAAATCCATTCTTTCAACCTCGTATTTACTTCTGGCCAAACGCCGGGCAAACAGTAGCAAAGAAAATCCAACAACCACCCATGCAAACCAGAATTGCGCACCGACAGCGGCAGCGCTGGCTTCGCCGTGTTGCTTTTATCCCTCGTCCGCTTGAAGTTTCTTGTTTCGCTTGCAAACATGTTAAAACTCAACGCTCTTTCCCCAGAGGTCGAAGCCACGCTTGCTTGCTTGCACGCGTACTCTCGATTGCACTTATAACGTCACACCAAATGCTTGCCAGCAAACATTATCAGGCATGTAACGAGCGATACTACAGCACTTGTTTTAAAAACTGATGCAACGTCTACATGTCCAACTTGAGCACCAAAGCCTGGAAGGAAAGAAATGACTGTGGAAATTGCATCTAGTCACCCATCCAACATGGCTTCTACGCTGGCTGCGCTTCAGCGCCCTCAACGTATGACTTGCGATTTCCGACGTGGCGGAACACCGCACCGCAGTCGACGAAGGTCCTGCCGTAAAAGGCAGACCCGGGAATGCGTACTAAACGTCTACAGCGTGCGTTGTGATGCTGGTGAGGGAAGGGTCATGTGGCAGAAGATGACGGCACGTGAGTGTGCGAAATGCCCCTGCGATGTCGTTCAAGCATTCAACCGGCTCGCAGGCTCTGCCTGTCGTGTTCGAAAACGTCCAGGTTTTGCTGATTCCGAGGGGTAGGAATGCTATAGTGGCGTGTACGAGGCGCTGGCGTAACGCTCCGTCGATCGGGCCGTACATGAGGCGGCAGAAGGCGGTCGTCAAGTGGTCGCGGAAATCAGTGGAGAACTACTCGCGTGCGCTTTTCGCCGAATTCCGCGGAGTAAGGTGCGAGTAGACTCCCGACAGACGGTCTTCGGGAGACGGGTGATTGCACAAATATGACCGTGCGGCAACGTGCAGCTATATTCATGGAATATTTCACCCCACTTAGATAGCTTCGTCACTGCGCTCGCTGGTGTTGCTTATTCTTGTTGACCTTCACTTGTGGCTCACACCCACTGCGGGGCATTGGCCGGTTTGTTGTTCTGCTTTTTCGACTTCTACATAATCGGCTAAGTGGAGCTGTGAGGAGTGATGAGTGGGTACAGATGCAAAGCATAGAAAAGAGCGCCCTGGGTGTGCTTTCACGCGTCCTGGTTTCCACAGCACCTGAGGTACGTGCGTGGTGCGTCTGTACGTCTAGTGCGCAATTTTCTTGGAACTTCTAGCAGCTGGCAGTTCCATTCAGGTGAGCATGCGAGGATGTTTGTTCTAATTAACGAGAGCCAACGACAAATGAGCTGGTCTGATATGATGTCCAGAAATGTTGTGTATGATCAACAAACGCGCGATGCCTGCCGTGGTGATCTAGGCGCTATAAAGTACTCGGCTGCTGACCCGCAGGTGGTGCGATCGAATTCCGGCTGCGACGGCTGCCTTCCATTGGTTACATTTTTCGAGTGCATTTCCGAAATGTTGTAGGTCAGTGTGCTCAGATTAGGATGCACGTTAAAGAACCCTATGTGGCCGAACTTTACTGAGCCCTCCACTACGGCGTCTGTCATAATCATGTGGTGGTTTTGGGACGTTAAACCCCATATATCATCATATCATCATCAACAAGGCGATGGCCGAGGGCGCCAGCGAGGTAGCTGCAGGACTGCGTGGCAACGAACAGGTCAGTGGACAAAGGAAAAGAAAATCGGGGCTTTGCCGCTCCACCATCGTGCAGGTGTGTGCGGGGTGGGTCGTGTGGCGTTCTTTGCGATTTATTTTGTTATGGGGAATAGTGTAGATGCGAAGACGTGGCGAGAGGACGCGTCTTCGGGTGAAGACGTCGCGTGAAAACGTGAAATAAGTATGACTTCGCTTGTCACTGCAACTGCCCCGCCGTGGTGGTCTAGTGGCTAAGGCACTCGGCATCTGACCCGCAGGTCGCGGGTTCGAATCCCGGCTGCGGCGGCTGCTTTTCCGATGGAAACCGAGATGTTGTAGGCCCGTGTGCTCATATTTGGGTGCGCTTTAACGAACCCAAGGTGGTCGAAATTTCCGGAGCCCTCCACTACAGCGTGTCTCATAATCATATGGCGGTTTTGGGACGTTAAACCCCACAACTCAATCAATCAATCTTGTCCTGTGAACACAAACACCAATACCCAATTTCCAGAGGCTGTTTTATTTTATGTTCCGAAATGGGCGAATTCCAAAAGCAGAAATAGCTTGACACATACACACATCTAGCTTTCCTCTGAAACAGTAATAATTAATTACTCAAAACTTTTAGTATTACGATTAGGGATGTAAAAAAAACTTGGAAATTGTACGTGTGAACATAAAAACAAAAAATAAGGGGCTCCCTAATTATGAAATTTCCACACAAACATTTATTTTCCAAGAGCAATGGTAAGTGTGAATGAACTCAGCTAGCGCACTCCCCGCACGCGGGCGAGCCGCCGCGAGTACAGCGTCAGCCGGGGCGGCGTGACGCCAGCGCTTCGGACACTCGCCGCACCCACGCTGTTTACCCCGATATCTTTGGTAAATCCAAACACTCTTTCTTTTATTGAGAATAATGTCGAACTCACCACCGCAGGGGTGAGCGGGTGGATCCCGTAGGTAGTGAAATACCGGGTCAACCCGTGGCGGAGGTGAAGCAAGCTTTAAACACTCTACCGCATTGCAAAAATAAGCTTAACATCTGGATCCAAATACTATCCGTATGAGATATTAAGTTGATAAAAACAGAGTGTATCATTTATTATGTGAAAGACAATGCCTGAAAAGTCATGAGTATGTCGGACGACAAGGCGCTTGGTCTGTGCACAGCACCGGAAGGGTCTTATGGAGTCCGGACGCGGGTGGTTTCACTAAGGACATCAGGACTTGGGAGGTGTGGACGTCGCATGAACCCCCGGAACTGAAGCGAGCGGACCAGGGCACCTGGCAGGCGCCAGGCGACGTGGCGACGTAGTAGGGCAGGTCTTGCCTGGGTCAGCGGTCATCTAAGTGCGTCCATGTCCTACGTACGCATGGTAGATGGCACGGGACGCTGCTTCTACCTCGCTCACGCAGTGTTTTTTGATGAGGCGCAGGTAGCTTCTGGAGCACAGGCGCAGGAGGACGCGGTCCTTAGCTGGGTCCCACGTGTCGAGAGCCCCAACGATGACGGCGGCCACCGTAACTCTCTGGTAGCGGCGACGCAAGTAGTCAGCGACGGGTTGGTAGCGTCCGATCTTGTCGTCTCGCACGTTGGTGAAGGCCTCTGGTGTGTTTTCGAACGGCCAAGCCAAGTCTACCACCAGGGCCTCTTCCCCGCGAACCAGGACAAGGTCAGGACGCAATCCAGTGTCGCCGATGGCCGGTTCTCGAACGCCACGGTGTAGTCGCGGGCAGCGGCTGTGCGAAGGCGCGGGACCACCGCGTTGTGTCGTGCCAAAGACATGACGCTATGCGTCATGCACTGGCATAACACGTGCGGCAGCGTCTCCCTGGCGTCGCCGCAAACCCGGCAGTGCTAATCGCTGTTCGGTGGGCCTACATGACCACCGTTCAGGGGGAGCTGGTTGAGGCGCGCCCGGTGAATAAACCGCCAGTCGGCGAAGAGCGTGAAGGCTCCCGTGGTGATAAAGTGGCAGCTCGCACGATCCGCCGAGACGCAGGCCATGACCTTCTTCTGGTTTGGTTGGTCATGGAGGTCGTTGTCCCGGACCTGGTCTAGAACGTCGTGTAGCATCCACATGACCCGGTTCTGTTGAGTTGGCGGAAGCGTTGCATCGCCGCAAATGATGGTGACGTGGTCCGGCCACAGGGACCACAAAACTTGTAGCCGTCGGGACGCCTTACGGGCCTCGGTCCACACGCTGCACAGCTGGGTAGCCGGCAGTGAGTGGATGGCCTGCAGATCGCCGAAGAGGTACGCCTCCAATTCGGAACGGGTGACCTCCCAACCGAGGTGGGTGGAGGCGAGCTCGTAAGCGTCAGACAGGGCGAGTTCCCGTAGCGACTGGTCTGGAGTCGTAAGGAGCTTAAAAGCGGAATCAACATGGCAGATGTCGTACAGCTCTGCTGCCACCGGGATCGCTATAGCTTCCCGGAGGCACTCCCGTAAACAAAGTCGATCAAGGCGTTCGCCTGTAGATACAATGTTCGCTTTACCAGGGGCCTGATGGCTAGGTCTAAACGGTGCCAGTCGGATTTGGTAACGACGCCACACCTCATGGAAAAATTCAGGGCGGGGAATACAAATGTCTTGAGGGCGTCAATACGCTGCCAGGGGACCAATGTCATCGTCAATGACATTGGTCCCCGCTCGATGTGGAAGGCACAACCCCAACGGGCGTCCGAGGTAACAGAGTGGCTCGGAGTTGCTCAAGGCTGCTACCGGGACGCCCGAGACGTGGAAGACGGTTGACAGCATTCCGACGGGGGTGACGCCACTGAGGTGCAGGGTGGTACACTTGCTCGGTTAATAGATAGCCCGAGTGGTGTTGCCAGTGTCTCGACCATGTCGATGTGTTGTTGGAGGAGGGTGGGACAGTCAGCCAGGGGCGTCAGGTCGTCGGCATATGCTAGGATGTTGTGGTCGTTGCCGGTGCCTTGGATGCGTCGAACTACGGGGTCTATAACCAAGTTGAAAAGCAACCCGCTGAGTGGGCAGCCCTGGCGGAGACCCGAGCGGATGAACACCGGTGCTATCGTGCCCTCTGCAGCAACAATGACAGCCTGATTCTGGTGTTACAGATCCTCGATGATGGCGGTGAACGTCTCTCCAGCACCGCAACCATGGAGGGCATCCAAGAGGGCCTGGTGAGGTACGGACCCGTTGGCATTTATGCAAAACTCCGTGCCACCGGCTCTGGCTGCAACCTTGCGGTGTTGGAAGAGGTAGTTCAGCTCGAACACGCCGTCATACGGGAGGAAGCCTTTCTGAAACTTGGACAAGACCTGGTTATCCATGATCCAGGTTTGCAGGCGCGACGCAAGACATTTGGCGAAAAGCTTGGAGGCCGTACAGCCGAGCGCAATTGGGCGCCTGTTGCCCGCGACAGAAGGATCACCTTTTTTGTATATGAGAACCGTGCGCGACGTTCGCCATGAGTCCGGGGTGTGACGATGGTGAACGCAGGCGTTGAACAGGGCAGACAGGAAGTGGGCCTCTGGATCGACGAATCTCCAGTGCAGGTAGGTCAGTCTTTGCGGACCGAGAGCCGTGTTCTTCGACTTCCGGAGCCAGAGGAGAACCACGTCTGCCGAGAACGACGCCGTGTTGACCGGAGCGGGAGCCGTGGGTCGCTGGAAGAGCGCTGACGTGTCCGTGTGTGAGGTGACCAGGTGGAGGCCCAATGGTCCTGGATGTCGCATACAGGGATGGTACAGGACTGTGTGGGTCCCACCATGATCAGGCGCACGGAACGTCGGCGGTTCCTGCGGTAGAGACGCTGAATCTGCGTCGCGTTGTCGGGGTTAACGTTTCGAGCAGGGCGTCCCGCTGTTGATGGTGGGAGGTGAACAGCCTCCGTGGGCAGTGCAATAGTCTGAGACCACGCCTCCTCACACGTCGCCGAGGAGTCTGGTGTGGGGACTGATCAAAGTGTGGTTCGCAAGACGCGGACCTGCTGTGCCAGCAGCATGGTGTAGTCCGGTGGCATATCCATAGATGGTGCTTCGACAGGTATGTCGTGTGCACTGTCGTCGGGGTCATCTGCACCAGTGTCCTCCAGCTGCTCAGAAAAGGAAGGGGACGAGGAAGAGCAGAATTTGGCTGACAAAGGACGGTGGTCGACGATGGGGCGGGCAGCTAGGATACTCTGTTCGTCTACCGGCTCGTTGGCCGATACGTCGTCGAAGTCGTCGGTACCGGGGACGTCGGCAAGCTCCGTTGACATCCGTGGGGAAGCCCTCGAAGCAGACGACGCGGAGCCGGAACCAGTGTGACGACGAGAAGACGTGCCGGGCGTGGACGAGGCCTCGCCTATCGTGGATGGCGGACCAGAATCTGGTGGCACTGACGGTGGCGTTCCGGGAACCGAAGGCGACTGCCGAGGCGTCGAAGAACCGGAGCCGGAAGTGACTGAAGAATGGCCCGGCATGATAGACGCCCCGGAGCTTGACGCCGACAGAGAACCAGTAGGCGAAGTGCTGGAGATCGACCAGGTACTCGAGGATGGCGTCAATGTGGAAGACGTGCCTCCACGACGTCTTCGAGACCGGGAAACGGTGGCTCGGGTCTGAGGTTCTGGTGGAAATCGGCAAGTTGTACATGAAGGAGCTGGATCGGGAGATAGAGGGGTCTCTGTACCGGAAGAACTGGAGGAAGTCGCCGTAGGCTTCCGTGGGTCGCGAAGAGGTACACAAGAATTGGATTCTTCTTTTGCATGCCGTGCCATGGTGTGCTGGGTGAACGAGCGCTCGCAGTTGAAATAACTAGGGAAGTACCAGCATGGATGGAAGGGCTCGTTTATGGTAGGGCCCGGGCAGTCGTGGCATGCGGACAGTGAAGTCAACCGGGCATCACACGAGACGCACTGGTAGAGACGCCTCATTGGCCGAACCTCATGCTTTTGCTCCATGTAGGACAGTTGGAGCGATGCTAAAATGCGGGCTTGGCAGCCCGCGCAACCGGGATAAGAGAACGTAGCATTTCGGGCACCGGCAGGTACACCGTCATGTCCCTGGTGAACGACGGGCAGTCGAGAGCGAAAAGGCCCGACGCTGCCACAAAAACGCCAGTAGACGCCGAGGTACCAGGACGAGGCCACTGGGCTGGGGTGGTGCCGGTGTGCTCAACCCCGCCGGGCAGGGACTCCTCCATGTGGCGGAACCTCGTGGATGGACGTCCGGGTAGGGAAACCTGGGCGACGATGACGACGGCGGCGAGGTGGTCACAAAAACCGGGGTCCGTTGGTGTCACCAGTGGGCATATGCGACCGGACAGGGAGCGCCAGGCAAGAAAAAGCTTGTAAACTCTCACCGCTTCCGGAGGGCGTCTTCTTCCGCTGGCTGGACTAGAATGCCGCGTCGGTAGATGTCCACGTCCCCATAGCTTGATGTCCAGGCCGGTAGGCTCAGACGATGGCAGTGGCGAAGTGGTCACGAGGACCGGGGCCAGTGGAATTCGCCAGCAGACATTGAAGACCGGGCCGGGAGTGGCAGGCAACAAAAGGCTTGTAGACTCTCACCACCCCCGGAGGACGTCTGCTCCCGCTGGTGGACCAGCCGGGTAGACCGAGACGCAGCTGAACCGAGGAACCAGGTTGACCCAGAAACAACGTTGATCCGTGCGACCAGGAGAAGGGGGACCTTCCAGGGCGGAGGGCTCCCTGGGAGGGACCGTTTCTCGTCTTTTGGCTGTAAAGATCGAAAGTGGGAGAGCCACGAACACTACACAAAGAGAATTTATTTTTACAAGTTTCAGGTCTATTTACATACGTCTTCACCAACAATGATCTTCTTGTTGATTCTTGTTCTGGAGCAGTGATTCGCGCTATCTCCTACGATATCATACATGAACCGCGAACTTGCCGCTCCATGCTATGCAGGGCGTATAACATCATTACACATTGTTTAATGCAGGAGACGAGCGTTAGTGGACGCTATTAAGAAGTTTGCTTTATATATACAAAAACAGCTGTATTTCTCAGAGCGTTTTGGAAGGAGAGGGCACTTGACGGGGAACTTCACAAGCCGTGGGGAATTGGGGTGGGGGGGTCAGTAAGGGGTGAGGGGAAACGCCAATCGCCCCTTTTTAATGAAAACAACTTTGTATCCCAGCGTCGTAGGAAGTTTTTC